CACTGTACGTGCTTTTTTTGTAATTTTACACGGGAAGCGATTTTTTTGCCGAAATACAGCATGAACGATATTTAGAACGGCTTGAAATAAAACTAATTGAGTTTTAATAACATTTCGAGCTACCCTAATTGTCGTTCAAACTGCCTTTCGACAAAAAATTGCTTCCCTCGTAAAATTACAAAAATGGCGCTTACAGTGTAATGCTTCTCAGGTACGGAATAAATATAGGCTATACAAATATTTGTTCAGGCCCGGGAGCTGAAACCGGGACCTCTGTGTGGCAGTCCAGCATGGTAATCGTTCGGCCATGGATGAAGAGGTCCCGGGTTCGATTCCCGGTGGGACCAATTTGGGAAACGAACTTGTCTAATTGGTTGATGATTTTGCCATCTCAGTCTGCCGTGACCAATGGACCAGTAAAAGGCCCGAAACGTTGGTTTGTTTGAAAAAACAAATATTAGATCCGAAAAAAACGTTTTATTTCCTATGTGATGGGTGTTAGTCAAAATATCGTCGTCATTTATACGTCCCACTGCTAGGCACTGGTCTCTTCTCTGGTGAGGGTTTTAGGCCACAGTCCGTTCATGATCACACACATCACGATGTTCTCATTCACCGAAAGGCGTATGGTAAATTTGAAATTAAATTTTGCACACAAATTCCGAAAAAGCTGGATGCGAAATCACGGTCTCTGCTAGAGAGGCGGTAGGTCAAACTATTAGACTGCCACGTCACAATGTTTTGTGTCACCAAAGCGCCATCTGTGAGAAATCTATAAAAATATTTCTTCAATTATCAGGTAAATTCCAAATTGAATTTTGCGGACAAATTTCGAAAAACTCAGAGGTGCGAGGCCGGATTCGAATACACGGCCTATGCTTAAAAGGCGGTAGGTCAAACTATTAGGCTGCCACGACTTTTTTACTTCAAAATATACATTGAATTGATTTAAGTTTAAGTTTTATTCGAAGCACCAATATTTATGACGACTGGACATCATATAGACAATCTCATATGTCCATTTACTGAATTGTCATATGTTTCATTAATTAGCAAGTCCCTAGGCTTTGCTTTTTGGACTAATGGCGCTATCCATAACTTACTATTATAATATGTTATCTTTATACATGATAGGACTTGCTTTAGAATTGTTTATCTGCCAACATCGAGTATATAACCAGAATAGAGACGAGATAGGGGCCATATATTCCTGGTAACACATTAGCGATACAGCTCTTATAAATATCAACTCCTGTTTGCACTGAAATATAGACAGGCCAACTACTGTTCTGTGTGTACGTCTCCGTATATTCCAAAAAATATTCTGTATTTGTTGTAATACAAAACAATCTCTAACATTGCCGTGCTGTTCTATTCGGTGGTGCGGGAAAAACAGCAAAACATCTAATTACAAAACAAACGAAATCACATTTCATCGGTAATGAAATATTAAATATGTAATTTTGCAATTTTCGTCCATTATAGCAAAGCTCAAGTTAACTGGTCGTTTAGAAGTGAAACAGTTGACGACACCCATTGACGACACCCGTCAATTGTTTCGACCTCGGGCTTGCCAATCAGAGCGCAGTTGTCACAGTAATGATATGGCAGAATAGTTTTCAAACAAATGAAATGACATTTCGTCTCTATTTCTGGTTATATACTCGATGGCTGCCAATATGTTGATATTCATAGATTTGCATGCCGATGGCGGTAAAATATGAGTACCTAATGTTTTCTTACGTATACTTGAACCACCTGTTGTAAAACATAATATAAGCAAATAAATATCATTCATTCATATCCAGTTTCACTGTAGTACTACGTAAATTTCTGCGTGACTAGCTACAATAAAGACGCTCATCTAGCCGTAATACATTCACATTTTAATAACAAGGGCACAATAAAGGTAAACAATCTATTAATTAGTTCTCTCTAATAATAAACGGAAAGTATCCCTTAGATCAATTTGGCAAACAACTGTGTGGTTAAATAAGGCTCGCAGTTAGGTTAGAGGCTCCTTGAAATACATAACTCTGAGGCTGCTTGTGTATTTTAACTGTAACTATGCTATAAAATAAAACAATCTGAAACTAAACATATATAAAATAATATGTATTGCATATAATGAACTCGTTTGCAAAAAACGGGCACCTTTGAATTTTTCTCTGCCTGAAAAAACTACAATGCGTAAATGTTTTAAACATGTCACTGGCTTGATAGAAAGTCTTTGTTTATAAAAACATTCGTTCCAAATTCAAATTTAAGAAATATAACCTCAGTACATACAGAGTACTAAAAAGACCTCAAAAGTACGCGGAATTACTCATATCGGTTATCGGAATTTGAATGGGACCATTAACGAAGTACCCTCTTTCAAAAAAAAAAAAAATCGTCAAAATCGGTTCTCAAATAAAACAAACGTACATAAAAAAACAAACTCCTCCTTTTTTTGAAGTCGGTTAAAAACCCGTTTACAAAAAAATTACTCTTCAATTGTTGAATGATCATGATATGAACTCTAACATCACTTTTAGTAAATTTTTCTGTTACTTATCGAGTAGTATTCCTCTGTCGGTTTAAAATTGAAAACGACATTATGAATAAATTTATTCCCCAAAATTGCTGAAACTACTTTCTATATTATATTTTACTTTCTATTTCATATTCATTCATACCATTAATTATTATTTATTTATTATTAATTATAAATAAATAATAACACACTCGGGTGCTATGGACACACACATAGACTACAAATTACATACAAACTCATGAGAGAAATAAAGTAGGCCGTACAAATATTTCTCATGGGCCGAGAATCGAACCAGGGACCTCTGCGTGGCAGACCAGCATGGTAAACGTTCGGCCACGGAAGCAATTAAAATTAAGGCAGATTCTGGAGATACTAGTTATTTATATTATCAAAATGACGGCAGTTGACAGCGAGTGTAGTTGTATAGATATGTTTCGGGTTCTTATGCCGTATGATAAATAAATTTACTTGCCGTATGATAGATAAATTTATCATAGAGGTAATTAAAAAACAGAGTCCTATATTGGATACGCTGTGAGCGCATTATGTGTCCTTGCTTCAAATATAAAAGAACATTTAAAAACCCTTGAAAACTAGATTAATAATATAGACGAAAACTCAATCGTATGGACTGTTTAAAACAAAAGTCTGTAGTTATAGCTCTTCAAAGACCTAGTTGAAAGTAGGAAAAGCTCATCGTATTTTGTTATTAATCAATAATAACTTTTCCGGAAGTTGCCTACATGACGCAGAATTACAGTCAGATATTAACGCCGCGTCGCTGTTGGTTGGTTGATATGACGGCCTCCATGGTCGAGTGGCTTGCACACCGGTTTTCATAGTGTCGCCATCTCTGAGGTCCTGGGTTCGATCCCCGGCTGGGTCAGTGTAGAAACTAACTTTTCTACATTGTCTCGGGTCTGGGTGTTTGTGGTGCCTTCGTTGTTTCCGAATTCCATAACGCAAATGCTTTAGCTACTTACTTTGAGATCAGAATACCGTGTATGATGTTGTCTAATATATATTTTTGATTAATTATTACTCTAACAAGTGATATATATAGGGTGTCGCACGGCTTTGCCACATGGAGGGAAAGTCACTTTTTCTCTGACTATGCCGCGCTCATAACAACATACATTATCATTTCAAAGTATTACTAATGAGTACAAACTTGAGAAATACATATCATTTCCCTATTATAAGTGCATGATAAAATAATAACGAAATTCACAAAGAAGTTCACAATCACATAGTGGCTGGCTGATTATAAAATAATAATTTGAAAATGTGTTCCATTTCTATGTTCCATTGTCTATGTATTCTTTTGTTTTTTTTTAGTGAATTTATTTTTCGATTTCTTGCATTGCAATTGTTGTGTGAATTTACTTACTATGGCGTATCAACATAATTTGGATTTAATGGAAGCATACTATATTAACCACAAAACATATCACTAGCTTTGCAGTGGTACCGCGAACTTTAGCTTAGATGTATTATTTTAAATATTCACCATGAAAAGATAAATAAATCAACAGGAAGCAAAATTATGAAAAGAGTGAGAATTTGTATACTACACAATGGGAGACATTTTGAACATTTGATAACTTAAATTGATTGATTGTAAGTTGCAATTAAATGTACCTAATATATAAACGTCGTAAATAATAGAAACGTCGGTTTGTTTGAAAAAAACAAATATACGCGACTTAAATCCGGAAAAATAGTTTCATTTCCTAAATAAAATAAAATTTATTTATTTTTATGACACCAAGAGACGCGACAGACAAGTCGTTGGTGGTAAGCGACACGCGTGTCACATCTTGCAATTTAGTGACAACAAGTAACGTCCATGCTTTAGTATTGATTCTAGTATTGGTACCGTCTCGATCAATAACAACTTGATGGAAGGCCTAACGACAAAGTTATTCGGTGTCCCAAGGACAAGAATACATGGTTGTAATGGTTTGCACTGCTATTACAATAGTGTTATAACACGAAATATGTGAAATTCAAGATTATACCATCACTGAACGTAAAATTTGATTCTCTATTCGTCAATAAAAACGTCGTTAGGATATTGTAAAAAACAACTAAAATATAAATATTTAACGCAAAATGAGACACGCTTTATGTGAGCTAGTCCTGGCCAAAATAGTCCTTATTCAAAAACATGAATTTACTTTTTCTCTTTTATTTTTTAAATATGTACATTTGGCAAGTAGGAAATAAACTATACATACATTTACACAGATATTTCACGGGAAGCGAGTAATTCGTTTTTCGTCGATTCTGAGAAAATACACTTTTTGAGTTAATACACTAATTGTATTAAGAGTGCGATTAATTTGATGTAATCACAATTGGGAGTATTTAAGCAAATAGCGCTGAATAAACAAGAAATCTTTGAATTACTTTTCCATTACATTTTTTACTTTGAACATCATCAAAAATTATGTATACTTACATCTCCACGCGTTCGACTTTGATGCCCCAAGCCTCAGTGGCTTCGTCAAGAGCAATTTGCATGTTGCCGGATATGGTTTCGCGTTCGCTCAAGATCTCATGCAACGGTCTAGTACCCATAGTGTTGCGGAGAGTAGTCTGAGCCAGCAATCGAGTAGAATGGTGGGCGTTCTCAACGTTGGCAATGGAAATCGTGGCATTGTGAACGCGGTAGTACACTACAGCATCCACCGAGACGGTGACGGAATCTTTTGTGAGAACCTGAAAAGAAAGTTCTTTGAAAGGGTGTGAGTAAATATTTCACACCTATGGATGAGCAAAAATTTTCATTGGCCCTGAGATTTGTAGTAGAAACTTCTTACTTCAGAGGATTTCATCATGACGTGATGGAATAGTCGTCTTACTGGTATATATATATATTTACCTTTTGAGAAGGAAAACCATAAGTTCAAGTTCACTGGACACACACAGACAATCACAAATTACACCCAAACTCATGAGAGAAATAAATGTGGGCTATACGAGTATTTCTCCCGACCCAGGAATCGAATCCGAGATATCTGCGTGGCAGAAAAGAATGTTAACTGCTCGTCTACGAAATTCAGTGTTCCATCATGACGTAATAGAATACTTGACTCGCTCATTGTCTTTACCGTAAATAACAATTACAACTTTTTTTTACCTCTTGTGGAGGAACATCGTAAGTTCGAGTTCGCAGGTCAACCCTGGCGTATGTATCGATACAGGGCAGAATGAAGAAAATACCTGGGCATAAAAATAATATTTGTTAGTTGGTTAACACCTAGAAAGGATGATAGTTTTTTTCATTAATTACTTGAAGAGATGGCACTAAAATAGAGTACCTGGGCCCTTTGCTCCACCTGACAGTAGACGACCCAAACGGAAGATGACAGCTCTTTCATATTCCTGCACAACCTGCAGACAAAAATTGCAGAATTAATAAATTGTTAAAAACTCTAGGCTTAATCTATATCCTAACACTTCAAGTTTGGAGGTATTTAAAGTTATAAAATTTAGAAATTATTTTGATAAAATACAGTACGCAGTAATACAATATTTTGGTTTGACAATTACAGTCGCGAAATGCAGTACAGTGTTGTGGTGTGCCTCAGTTAGTTAGCGAAAGCTTTCATATCGCGAAAATCTCTCAGGAGCGGGGTCTAGTTTTAACAACAAAAAACAACAGTTATTACGGTAAAAAAAGCCGTTTGAACCCCATACGAAGCTGCAACAATGATGTAGATAAATTCGAAAGATCTGCTGACTCGTCCTTTAGTGACAACAGACGCTGTTTCGAGTACGACAGATCGAAGGAATTTCCTTTCTGTTGTTCGATCTTTATATTAATAACAATAATAAATTAATTTTCTTTCTAAGTGTTCAATCTTTGTTTAATAATTATACCAAACTAGTGGAGTAATTTCACAAAAAATATTGGTGATGAAACCTTCTGATATCCAATAAAACTCAATTACAACCATTAAAGTAACATCTCTGAACAGCGGCTGGTAGCTGTAAAGATACCTCTCTGAGTGAAGAAAAACTTTCATAGATTTGTCACAGACGGCGCTACGGTAAAAGAGTCAAAACCGACCACAAAAATCAGCAACAAGCACATGAAAAAATTCGTGACGTGTGTTGTTTCGTTCCGTGGCATAGTAGGAATAGCGTCAGGTACCGTTTGCTGGGAGACGTTGGTTCGAATCCAACAGGATCAAAGAGAATTTTTTTCTAAATATTCGATCTTTGTATCTAACTAGCTAGTTAGATCTTCTCATCCAGAGCAAATACTGCATACCGTCGGGCCCCTGAAATATATCTTGAAATTACAAGCACGTGGGACTTGTCAACTTATGTCTCAGGGTGACCGGCACCTTTGCGATTTAAAGCTCTGAATGGCTCTGCAACTGTTATGGATATGCGTGTCGCTTACCACCAGGCGCACGACTTGTTCATCCCCTCACTTGGTATTATAAAAAAAGAATCAACATTCACATAGAATATTATAATGTTGGTTTGATATGAAACCCACAAACTTTGTATTGTTTCTATTCAACCTAATAATGTCATACTACAATATTTGTGTTTAGTACAAAATCATGACGTAGTTATAGATATACACTAGACGGACCTCAGTGGCCCAACAGTTTGTACGATACTGGACGAGGAGGTCCCGAGTTCGATTCACGGCAGAACCTATTTGGGAAATGAACTTTTCTAAATTGATTCTGGTCTGGATGTTCTGGGTTGTGCCCCACAGTGAATTCCGTTGCTCTGGTACTCATAGTATAAAGAATTCCCTAGTTTAAGACCAGGCAACGGTTTGACACACTATTACTTTATTTTTATACTTTATGGCTGTCATTATCTTTCCTATTCGCCATTATATTTTAAGTAAGCTAGTTGACTCACCAAGGAACGCGCTTTAGAGAACGTCTTCCTTTACGGTGGGCTTAAAAAGTCGCACACTATACATATATAAAACCTTTCATGTGACTTGCAGTGTAAAATAATGTTATTCTAATTCTAAAGATCAACATAAAAATAGCGGGTTTCTGTAGTTACAGTTATTCCTAGACTATGGAAATCAAAGGACATGTATGTATATTGACATAATATAAATCAGACGTTATATGTATATGATGCATTTAGACGTTCAAAACATAAACATTTTATTGTCTTTGTTTAACTGCTGCGTGCCGTCGTAAGCCAAAAGAGATAGCACTACATTGATTTATGTCAAACACGGTAATCGAAAACACGTAACGTCATCTTAAATGCTAACTGTCCTCATTTTGCCATTTTTGTCGTACCCTATGATAACCGTTTCCGGTTGTCAAAGGGAAGTTACATCAAATGTCAAAACCAATATTTGGCCAAACGTTTTAGTGAATTATTCGTATGAATTGTAATGAAATGGGTAAAAATATGGACAGTGAGAACAATTAAGTATTGATAAAAATGCGTCACTGCAGCATAAAGGGGTGCGGCAGTAGAAAAAGCGGAAATCAACCGAATTGTTTTTATTGGTAAATAACTTTATTAAATTATTAATTTTGATTAAAATGGCTCATTACTTGCCTAGTAATAATAGCCTAGTATGAATCATACTTTGATTACAGTAAAGTATTCAAGATTTGCATAAAAAACAGTTTCAACATTCAAGCCATACATTTGCATGTCGATATTGACTTATCTATGCTTATGGTACAACACTAAATCCAACATATGTGTGATACAATTTTGGTATAAGTAGGTTTCCTTTATTTTTTTCCAACCTGTAAGCAGTTATTCCACAAATTAATGTTTAAGTATTATTACGTTTTGAATTTCTTAATTATTTGTTACCTTTTCAATCTGATGGTTCTTTAACCAATGCTCTATAAATAACAATTGAACATCAATTTTTCAAATTTCTTTTTAGCTACTGAATCGCTAGTTTTAGTACCTTAAGAAAATTAAAAAAAAATATTTTAAAATACAGGCCGAAAATTAAGTAAGTTGCACCGTCAAGGTCAAGCTAGACCCTAATAATTCTCTAGCTAAAATGCTACTGTAAATAATTGCGGTGAAACGAATTCACTAGTTTTTTATGAAGTTAAGAAATGTACCATTCTACTACTTGTACGGAGAATCGTTTAAAATTCATTTTTATAGAATGTCTTTTCAAATAAACTTATTTGCTTTTATTACGCTGTATCGGCTGGCAATCTGATAGTCACGTACCTAATAAGTATTCACACGTCTTTCTTTGAATTTTATTATTTATCGACGCGGTAATCGACTTTGTTTCGTACTAAATGGAACAATTTTGAAAATAATTAAGGAAATAATATATTTGTTTTTTCAAACAACCCCAAAAAAGAAATAATATATTCCGACTAATAACAGTGTAGTACGAAATATTGTTTTTCTACTCCTGGGGGATTATTGTGAGCCAGAGCAATCCTATTTAAACCTGTAAGTCAAATTGCCTGTCAAATTTTCATAGTACGCTATGACCTCACATAACCTAACCTCAGTACGGAGTTCTAAAAAAACCGACCACAAAAGTCATTGATCCCCTAGTTTAGTTTAGACCAAAAATTTCCTTCAAATTTAAATGGGACCACTTCTGAGTTTTTTCTTTTTTTTTTCTTTCCAACAAAAAAAGAATCATCAAAATCGGTTCACAAATGGCGGAGTTATCGCGTAACATACATATATAAAAAAAGAAATCATGCAGTCGAATTGAGAACCTCCTCCTTCTTTTTGAAGTCGGTTAAAAAACAATTCATTGTCCATGCAGTTTACGTTCCCCATTCGAAACCTGTTCACCTTTTCTTTCATAGTAAAATCGTATCATGACGTGTCATTTGCTATGCACATGGCGGTCTCATCTGTCAAAATAAGCAATTCAAATAAAGTTACTCCGAGACTAACTTTTTTAGATTTATTACATTTCTAAGAAATTTCGTTTAAGTTTTATTATATTTCCAGTTGAGAACTTGACTGGCTGCTTCAAAGCTCATAATAGGCCCCCTGTACTTTAATTTGTCAATTATAATTTCATATGCCTAGTATATAAAAATTTCATGAAACTTCTATACACAGAACTATGAGTATTAAAATACTGCACACAGAACTATAGTGAGTTTGAATCAAAGATCGTTGTATGTTTGCTAATTAAGTGCTATAATACTGCCTCCTTATTGGTTAAATTGCCCTGCAACCGGGCCATAAACGTTTATATAAAAAAGGTTAATTAAATTTGTGCGGTACTTGGCCAGTTCTCTTCTATCTTTAGTTTTTTGTTCTAGCGTTTGTTTGGCTTTCATCTAAATATAAGAAGAGGCTGTATGGTGGAATCTTTGCCTGCTCTAATAAATAGGTTAAAATTTATTTTTAAAAATTGCTTTTGTGTCGTGGATTGTTATCAAATTATATATTAATTATTGCTTGTGTTTAATTATGTTATTTACTCGTAGAAATTTTTGATACAAGTGCGGAAAGTTAGTCATTATTCATGACTCTCGAGGTTTCTTGGCCCGAGCCAGAGGTGAGGCTCAAGACTCGAGACAAGTGCAAATGACAAATCCGCACGTGTATCAAACGACGTTTTTTAATACAATTGCGAAAAAACTACATTGAAAGTAAAATAAAATTTATATTTTTTTAATTTTTTTTTTATTAAGGCTTTGGCAAAGCCATCAGCCTAAACATGAAGTTTAATTATGTTTCTGCAATTATATGGCCGCCACAAAGAGGATAGGCAATTTGAGGCGGCGTGCTTGGATTGACTCGGGATTCCTTAAAACGGGCCGATACGGGTATTTTAGTTCGAAATTCGTATAATTTCGCGTTTTAATCTTCGATTAAGGCACAATAGCACTATCCTATTCCACTTTAAACTAGATTTCACAAAATAATTGAAAGTCAAAATAAAAACGACACTTTTCCCTCCAAAACTTCCAGAGCGAATCCGTAAAATAAAACAATATTTAAAAAGAAACTCATTTTGTTTTATTTTTATTTAGCCACATAAAAATTACTATTTTAGTGGCGCGGCGCGCAGCGGTCTCGCGTAATACTCACCTCCGGTCATTGTTAATACTCAATCAGCCATCTTCATGGAAAATATTTTGGTATTTTTAAATGTAACCCGTTGCTTTATAAAACATTTAAACAAATAAGATGTTTGTAAGTAAATATAAGTTTTAATGACGGATGACTTCACAAACTACATAAATATTATACAAATATACAACCTCTTTAGTTCTACGTTTAAGACTTACAGTAAATTAAAAAAAAATGGAAAGTAAAAAGCACTAGTGCGAAAAATCCTACTTTCGGCAAGACTTGTAGTACGAAAAATACCACGTTTTGGGCAACTGTATTAAAAAAGGATTATATGCAATCATACATACATTTATAAATAGGTCATACAATCTCATACCTATTACTTAGGCCACAGTACGTACATGGTAGGTACTCGACTTTCGGTATAGGGTATTTAATGCAATCGTTGCATAATAAGGACCCTTGTTTAGGCAACGATTGCATATATTATGAGAATTTTGAATTTAGAACTGTAGAAAATGCCGTATTGTAAACAGATAGTAGCAGACACGTTTCAAAATAAATTTTACTATTATTTATAAGGCAATACGGCACAATTTAGTCATTTGTTTACTCATTGTAGCTTAGACCAGTTAGAGACGAATGTCTCTGAAGAGAAGTGGAAAGAATATTACCAACGTCGATCACGATTTATATTTTTAATCAGGTTTTTTAATTAAGATCAAACAAAATATTTTTTTTAAGGTCTTTATTGATACTTGGTAGCAAATTTTAGTAGCAAAAGAGCTCCTTATGATAGAGTTTGTGCAGAAAGTACTGCACAAACTCTTTTTCAAAAACTTTACCTACTTCTGCCGCTGAGCAGTAATTAGAGCATTGCCGCGTTCCGGTTTTGAGTAAAATTATAGGCACTTGCACACAACTAATGTCATAGGGCAAGGGGCGCGGTGATAGCGCCCTTCAGATTTTTGCGTTTTGAAGCTCCAAATGGCAGGACTTGTTGGTCTTGTCACTTGTATAAAAAAAAACACAAACAAAATAATGTTCCTATTGGTGGTAATAATATAATATTCAGAAGCAACACACATGCTACTTTCAAATGAAAATAGTTCTGCAGGCAGCCATTTGACTTTTGAATTGACATGTGACACGTTAACGTTGCCATTACTGTCACGTGATTCTAGTTATGGAAGAAGTTCTCAACTAGTCTGTATTATTTTTGAGTGTACGTTGCGATTACTCCGATGCGATGTTTGTTAAACGATTTCGATGATTCTTTTTTGTTGGAATCTCTTTTTTTGGTTGGTATCTCTATAGTGGTCGCATTCAAATTTGAAGAAAATGTTTTTGATGTCTTTTTTCGTTAAAAAGTTATGTAGACTATAATAAAAGTCATTACAACATCGTTCAACTAATGATAGTAAAATAAGGCTGGTTCTTCTTTGGTTTGCTCGAGGCTGTCCTCACACTGACTAACCAAAAACAATATCCGTTCGACCTCTTAATACTTCCCACCAACGAGAGTTTCAGCCTAACCCAACCAAAAACCCCAGTTGCCAAAGTTGCCACTTTTTTCGTTTTACAGTCTCCATTTATTTATTTTTATAAATTGATGAAACCAACATATTTTTTTAATTTGTGAACCTAACAATACGTTGAATTTATTTCATATTTATATTATTACTACTTATTTCATATTATTAATATGTATAAATAAGTATAATTTTGCAGTATTGTGATTAGCAATTCTGGGTGCAAGAAGCACAAGACTGGTTGCTGTGGCGATCTTTGGAGAAGAGCTATTACCAAACATCTCTAAATTGAGTGACGGGGGATCATTTACTCACGTCGCGAACACTTTTAACGCATTTGAACAAATATATGTATTTTTTAACAATAAGCTTTTTAGATAAAGTCAAAATGTGGCTGTCACACTTTTTTTATTATATTACACGGTCAATAATTTTACACGGTACAAAGGAAAGTATATGAATTACCAAGGTTTACACGGAACTACTACTACTTAGAATAATAATATCTTTATTTATCTCCACAATACAAAACAAAGGAACATTACAGTCCCATATCATTCTACATAAGTTTTGTTTATAGTGCCCCTCCCTAACAACCTCTTGGTTATGCGAGAATGGCACTATGGTGCCGAAGCCGTAAGGAGCTCGCTCGCATAGGGTTCTAATCCTGGAAAGGAATCTTACAAGCACCATATCTTTCTACGTTAGTTTTGATTATAGTGACCTTCCCTGCCTACTCTTAGGGCATACGAGTAGGAACCTTATAAATTCAGGTTCTGACCCCAGATCAGCCTGTGTACAGGTTTCTCACAGACCTCTGTCACTTGACTTGATCCCAAAAGGAACATTACAGCTCCTTGTTAAAGCCAAGCAGTAATATCAGCATTGCCATGTTTCGGTTTTGAAGTGCAAGGGTTCTGGTGAAATTACATGGGACTTGTAAACTGTCACAAAAGTCTCAGGAAGGCAGGCGCAGTGGCAGTGCTCATCACAGCGATCTTTGCGATTTAAATCTCGGGAGTGGCTCTGCAACTGTTAAGGACAGGCGTGCATATGTATGTACGCGCGTGCGTGCGTGCGTGCATGCGTGCGTGCGTGCGTGCGTGCGTGCGTGCGTGTGTGTGTGTGTATGTGTAATGACGAAGAACATTGCGGGAATCGAATCTGAGTAGTCCTCATCGAGTGCACACAGTTTAAGACGACAGCGGCAGTCAAATAACGTTTTAATAAAAACAATCGACCTTAATGGTTCGCTTACCCATATTCACTATGTTTTATTTCTATTGGAATTACATCTGTGCCAGTTTTATTCACATTGGTTAACGGAAACAGGGTGAATTTTGAATACACCGGACTCATCTCGGAATTTGCCACCCTTAGAGTGTTTGCGCGCTACGTCCGATTCCTATCAATTCCGGTTCCGAGAAATGACGGTCCGAAATATCACTGGTGTCCGAAGTGTTATTTTACTAACCGACTTCAAAAAAGGAGGTTCTCAATTCGACTGAATGTTTCTTTTTGCATGTATGGTACGCGATAATTCCGGCCACTTGTGACCATTTGTGAACCAATTTTGGTACAATAATCGGATGCAATGCGCAATCGCGCTTATACGTGGAACATTGAATGGAACAACTACCGAGGTACCCCCTTCGGGTCGGTATAAGTTACGAAAAATGCAGAGTTAAGAAACTCTCCTTTTTTTTTTGGTATTGGTTAAAAATACAATTGTTTTCAGGGAGATATATTATTTTAATGGACGCTTGCAATTTTATTCAGTCAGAAGATTTTGTAGTTAGAAGTAATACGGACAATTCATGTTGTACTCATTTTTGAAATGCGCTAAATCAGTTTGAGCTTTAAATTTCATAGTAGTTCGCTACGGATTGGCTCCAGCAATAACTCGCAAGGCTCTGTCATCCCCGAAGTTATATAGGTTAAAATTTCCACTACTGAATCAACTAAGCCAATAGCATCCGCTTCAAAGATTTCATTACTTCTTTCAATCGTTTGCCGCAGTTCAAAGTCGTTACTCGTATTAAAAAAAATGTTGAAAAATTTTCTTCTCCGAGTCTCAAAGAAAATAAAACTATTTATATTTCGAAGCGGAAATTATATTTTAATAAAAACTACAGTAACTCTGTTTGTTAGGTTTTCAAACCTAACCTGCTAAACCAGACTTGTTGAATTTTGATATAGACATATCTATCTCCGAGGGATCCAAAAGAAAGACATAGGCAACTTTTTGTTACAAAAGAACATTTTATAAAGGAGGGGGGAAATAGGGGATGAAAGTGTGAATGGAAACCATTCATTTCTCACGTAAGTGCAGTAGGATACAAGTATACTTCGTCTGCGTAGAATAAAGTACAACCTGTTGTACGGGCACCAGCTAGTCCTTGATAATTAGTACTTCGTGATATACAGTCTGGCTTAAATAAAAAAAGTTTAGTAGCAGTAGTGCTCCTTGTGAAAGAGTGCGTCCAGGGAAGTACTGCCACCTTACTTATTTTTGGCGCCTGCCGCGTTTCTGATTGGAAGGGTAAGGGTGCTGGTGAAATTACAAGCACATGGGACTTGTCAACTTATGTCTTAGGGTGGCGGGCGCTGTGGTCCCCGTCAGAACTTTGCGACTTTAAGCTCTGAGTGGCACTGCTACTGCTATGGACGTGTTCGTCCTGTAACTTGATAGCATAAGAAATGTTTCTATTCAAGTATCACTGACTTACAACAACGCTTGAACTAAAACGCTTAGCAGATATTTTTCGCGGATGCAAATAAGTTTGAATGAACAACCGAGAACATTTTTCGTAATTAAATAACAATTTGGAATTTTCATTATAAACCTTATAAACAAATTTCAAATACTTAGAGCGTTACACACATTATGCATAAATAAAAAACAATAAAGTATATAATCTTATTTTTTTTATTTGTTAAATGCATAATTCATGCGATGTGCACATAAGCAGTGAAATAGAGGAACAAAAGAAAATGTTGGAATTAAAAAATAGTATTATATTACGTCATTAATGCATAAAAGTGGAAAGGTAAAAGTTAGAAGAAATAAATTAAAGAATAGTATAAAAATTGTCAGTATAGTTCGCAACATGCCAGGTCATTATAGAACTTACCTTGAAGCAGATGAACAATGAAAACGGCATGGTTGCTATCACTAAAACCCATGACAGCACCACCAAGATCTTGCCGCATGTTTTCGACTCAGAATCGCCATCCTCGTTGGCTAAAACAACACGAAAAATTTGAAAAAAGGAACGTTACCGAGTCGACTCTGGGCCTGGAATCAAAGGCCAACAAATAAAAAGAACCACAAAACTTCGAACAACTTTTCAAACACGCACCTGTAGCAATAGCCGGGTACAAATGTTGTCGGCTCGACATTTCTAACATCATTGCACGTGTTAAATAGAAATAAAAACGCAGAATAATTACAGAGTATGCGTAACATACGGTGGTTATTTAGCAACTGGCTACTACACGTCGTTTGTGCCATTAAAAATTCACGTGAGAATCGTAAAAGCTGACGTGTCCATTAATTTGGTTGTTGTGCGATGGAGACATGGCGGTCAGGATTTTTTGTATAAATAATTCAAAATATTTCAAACTTACAGGGGATGTCGTGGACCACCATAGTGGTCGAGTCAGAGTATCGGGCCAGAGTGGCGAGTTATTATCGACGTCCGTTCAAGAAGGGTGCTCGAAGCAGACTAACACAGGGAAGCTGATGGCCCTCTATTTATTCCAAACCTTATCGTCATAGAATAAAGCCCGGCGTTCGTTTGACCCATAAAAATGTAATCCTAGAGGTATTTAGGCAAAATATGAACATTTGGCAGATGTTGCAGTGACACAGTATCGTGTTAAGCTTTTATGAGTAGTTTTACCCTAGTGGACATTTTTTCTATCCTAAAGGTAATTTACATGTGTAATGAGGTGTCCGATACATTTCATGAAGAATATTTTTACGTGACCAATATCAGTTGTTATAATACTGATAATACATTTGAAAATAATAATAGTTTGTAAAGTTTAAACCTTATTGTTACAACTTAATAGCTATTGGTAATCGCCATTGTATTGTTTTTCAAATCACAAAGCATTTTTTTTTAAATTACGTGCCAATCATTTTCGTTTTACAGAATCGCTTCTATTTTACATATTCTTTGTGGCGTTCTGTGAATTCCTCCCACGACAAATAGTCCTCAGTAATTCCCGATTGCTCACAAGTCCCTTGCCAGCCTTTTGATTTGATGTAGAGTGGGGGTCGTCATGAGTCCTGAGCAGTATATATATAATGCTAAGCCGGTATTATCAGTGCAGCGGGAGACATATTTTTATGAAATAGGATTTAGTAAGGAATATTCAAATGCTTCTAAAAATAAATATAGAGCATCTGAACGCTACGACGCGAACGAACATAAAGGTTACGTAACAATACACCGGAAATTTACAATTGAGTTATACATTCACCTTTCCTTCAGGCTACTAGAAAGTCCGGAGCATCGCAACTTTATATCATTGACTTACCATCCATTCGCGAAAAGTGTTTTGCTTCGTTCTTCCTGATATATACGGCAAAGGAATGGAATACACTACCGGCAGATGTATTTCTCGCGAAGCTGTTTACGAAACGCGCGATTGCTTCGCGACTATTTAGGTTTATAGGCCGTTGCATCGATTGAAACGCGCAAATGTATCGATGCAATAATTAAAAACGAGTTTCGGGTTTGCATCGCGTTTCCACTGCGATTGCATCGCGTTTGCATCGCGATTGTATCGCAGCTTAAGTGGCGTGTGTGTGTAAAGGTAGACGATTGGCACTACTTCGCTACTGCATCGCGACTGAATCTGTGTAACCGCTCTTATAGCTATTCAGAGCTAGAATGAATAGGCAAATATCGTGAGCCACTTCGTCGCTAAACATCAAAAGAGATTGCGGAAAATCCTTCGTCTCTTTTACTTAAAGAAAAACTTGAACAGTTTCGGGTTTTGAAGTTTAATTAAAAATATTTATTTTCTCGAACATTATGAAAACAAATACATTTCTTTCTAGAGTCCATTTCTTGTCAGCAATTTACATTACAACACTTTTTTATTTTATTTTATTGGTATCGTAATCCATTATTAGAGAAATATTTGCTTTTTAATGACATTTTAGGTACGACATTTTTCTCCGAGGAATTTGTTTTTGGAATGAAAATTAAAAACATAACAAGCTTTTGAAGAATCTAGTGAAGACCACTTCTTAGTTTTCTACTTTATACTGTGCAATATATTAAAAATACCAGTAGCATGGATTATTGCGTTTAAAAATGATATTTAGATAAAAACATTTTCTGCTCCGCTAGTGACATTATTTTTTCATCTATGATCGTCAACAACAGGGTGTGGTGGTGTTGAGCTTTACGATGCGTGCTTCGTTCAACCAGCCGGAGATAAAGCGTCGTTTGCGTTCAAACAAGTTCTAAATCAGATTACTCGGGTGTGATTATGTCGTACCGATTCATAATAATAATAATAACGTGACGGGCAATAACTTTAACTACCCGGTCTCAGACTTACCTGTAAATGAGTACCAAACGAAATTTAAAACACAGCACTTACACGCTAAACTTGGTTGGTTTGGTTTGGTCTTTTTTTATAATACCATGTGACGGGACGAACGAGTCGTGCGCCTGGTGGTAAGCGACACGCCTGTCTCTAACAGTTGCAGCGCCATATAGAGCTTTAAATCATAAAGATATGAGGGGCGTTGCCACTGCGCCCGTCATCCTGAGACATGAATTGACAAGTCCCATGCGCTTCTAATTTCACCAACACCTACCCTTCAAAACCGGAACGTAGTAATGCTCACATTATTGCTTGGCGGCAGGAATATGAAAGGTGGCTTCCTTGGATGAACATTTTCACAACTCTACTGCTACTAAAAGTTTTCTTAGTAGTTATATTGCAGTTAGTTCCACACAATCAACTGTTACAATGGAAATAAAATCATCACAACAATTATTTAATGAAAATGACTTGACCTAGTTGCTATAAATGTTCTCTGTTATTCTTACAATTGAAAAATTCCAATCTTACGGTTGCCTTTTACTAACAACAAAGAGACGGTCAGTTAAATAATTAGAGCTTTGCAGAAATTCATTTTCCCAGTAAAGTTCGTCTACGGTTGTTGGGTACAGTCACAGTATATATTCGCGTGACTGCACTCTGGCTATTTGCTAGCTTTACGACCAGTTAGCATTCATCTCATGTGGGTATAGCTTAAATACACGTACGCGTAGCTGTCGTCTACCTCAAAGATACCTTTGAGGTAGAGGAAAGCTAATCGACGATTGTCTAGTGTAATGCATGAAAAATAAACACCCAAAAAACGAATAGAAATAATCTGGTGCATATACCGAGTGACTTCTATTAAATCTATTTTAGGCATCGAGTATATAACCAGAAATAGAGACGAAATAAGGGCCATATATTCCTGGTAATTCATCAGTGATACATTACTCATAAATATCAACTCTCGTTTGCACTGAAATATAGACAGCACCAAGAACTGACCTGTGTGTACGTCTCCTTATATTCCAAAAATATTCTGTATTTATTTTATTACTGAAAATATCTCTAACAATGGCGTGCTGTTCCATTCGGTGGTGTGGGAAAAACAGCAAAACATCTAATTACAAAATAAACGGAATAACATTTTGTCGGTAATTAAATATGTAAGTTTGCAATTTTCGTCCATTATAGCAAAGCTCAAGTTAACTGGTCTATTTTAAACGAAACAACTGACGACATCCATTGACGATACCCGTCAATTGTTTCGAGTTAAGGCTAGCCAATCGGAGCGCAGTTGTTACAGTAATAATATGGCAGAATAGTTTTCAAACAAATTAAATGACATTTCGTCTCTATTTCTGGATAAATACTCGATGATTTTAGGATATATTTAAAAAGACGCTGTGTGCTTGCTTTTATTATTTTTAGTTGCTTCATTTAAAAAACTAACTGAAAATAACAAACAAAACTAAAACGCGCGATTCATATGCGCGGATGACGCGCGTTTACGGAGTCACTGAATTTATGAACGTGCAAAAATTTACTCGCTGCGACTGCATTGCGTTTGAATCGCGTTAACGTGCGTCATCTACGCTTCATAGGTGTGTATAAAATACGCCTTGTGCATAGGCCCTTAGAGTCTTCTTCGAGTTAGCTCAGGTTTATTATCATGTTCATGGCTTGGTCTCCACAAGATTATAAACACTCGTAACGTTACCAACAAAAAAGAAGTGTCTTAAATTTAAAGATAGTCACTGCACTATGTCTGTTAAAGCCGATCTGCCCTGATTTACTAGTCTTAACTTTTACTTTCCTCTCAATAACGCGCTTAGTGTCTTTATAGTACATCTGCGGTAGCAGCATCATTAATATATGCCTAGAATGTTTATTCTTGTAGCGTTGCGTAGCAGACTTACGCGCGCCTAGCGTAACGCGTAGGCCTCTACGGCTTTTTGCGGTCAATAGCACGTACGTAGTTTTTTGACATGTATAACCAAACTTAATGTCAGAAATGCGCAAGTAACTTTTTTGTCTATTACGTTTTCATGTTTAAACTTTTTTGGTATAGAGAAAGATGACACAGGCTACTTTTTGTCACAAAAATAATTCTTAACAGATGAAAATTTGTATGGAGAACCAATCATTTGTCAAAAATGTAGCACAGAAGGTTACGCGAAGTTCTTTAATTTTTATTTTATTTATTTTAATTTAAGCTAAACCTTTTGAGTTAGTGTAGTTAAGTTATAGTGAATAAAATAAATATTAGTGCCAGTGTTAATAAGACTATGAACACGTGAACGAAGTGTCCTTTATACATATAAGTAGGAAATTATGTGAAATTAAAATTGCTTATTAGTCTTGTAAAATGACTAAATTGTAATTAGTAGTTATAACAAATAAATAAATGACTTTTTTTTGTACGTAACTTGTAACATATATATATTTTTAATAATATCAATTGACGGGACGAACAAACAAGTCGTAGGCCTGACGGCAGGCTACACGCCTGTCCATTACAGTTGCAGTGCCATTCAGAGCTTTAAGTCGCAAAGATCTAAGGTGCACTGCTACTGCGCCCGTCACCCTGAGACATAAGTTGACAAGTTCCATGTGCCTGTAATTTCACCAGCACCCTTACCCTTCAAAACCGGAACACAATAATGCTGACCACTATGTGATCTGTGATGCTGACATTACTGCTTCACGGTAGAAATAGGTAAGGTGGCAGTACTTCTCTCGACATACTCTTTCACAAGGAGCTCTACTGCCACTAAATTAGTAATATTATTTGAATTGTGGTAATCCAATTTATGACGTGCCGTGGCACAATAACAGCGAGGGCGAGGGTAATTAGCATAGTCCTCAAATGCTGAGACCTTTGACGTGCTTTTTTTGTTATTTTTTATTTTAACTCGAATTTATATTGATTTTTTTCCTTTCAATTTATATAAGTCATGTCAAGTAAAGCCTATTTTATTGTTATTTATTTTTTTATTCTTCATACTTCATAATCATCTCAGTACTAGTGGGTACTACAAAGATGATTATAGAAAAATCATCATCGACAGTTGCCATCCACCATGATCCTGCGCTAGTCTCATCC